CATTTTTTTCCTGTACTTCTATAAATCATCACTGTTGCCACTGATGCTGCAGCTACTGGTCTGTTCACTTTATTTTTCTCACTTTCTGTATTAGGGTTGAACAGTGACATTTCTTCTGCAGCAGCATTTCAGTCTCATTGTGGGCAAATAATCTTCCATGCTGCTTCTGTTTCAGCAAAAAGTCTACACAGTATTATTTATTCTCTGTGTAATTTCAGACCCATCACACTTTGCAATTTAATTTTATGTCTTTCATACTGACTTACCTTAATTGTAACACGGGTTAAAATGCACAGTATTTAACATCAGCAAAACATCAACATTTACAGATATCTGCAATAAGACCAGGCTAGATAATATAAACATCCGACTAATAAAAATACAAAATATTCAAAATGTAAAAGCTAAAATGCCCTTTCTAGAAAATCATTACAATCCTTTTTTTATTTTCTTTTGTTGTTGCTGTTATTATGGATAAAGTTATGAAGATCTCCAGGTATTAAATCGAGTTTTGCTTTAATTGCATGACCTAGGATTCTATTAATGATAATTCTGAACCCTCCACCTCCCTATAGACTCTTAGAGCTAATGAGAAGAGCAGAGAATTATTGATTGAAACTAATGTGGCTTCCTTGTGGATCTTGAATTTCTGTGTCAAACAGCATCAATCAATGCCAACTGAAAAGTACATTAATTATAATGTATGAACAAATTATAACAAATAAGATCATATTAAAAAAATCATGTTACAATGTTTGCTAATGAATTAAAAATATAAGGGGGAAAAAAAAAAGAAAAAAAAAAAAAAGACTGATTTCCAAATAAATTATCTGGAAGCCTGAACTCAGTTACTTGAGTGTCTGCCATTCAAAGTTCGGGAATTTCAGAAATTTTGGAATTTGGAATCTATGTCCCAGGTTTTTTCACTTCACTTAGTGGACAAAATTCAAATATGAAACATGTGAATGTTCTAATCACAGAATATGGGTAAACAAACTAAACAGTGCAAAACTCATTTTCCTCAAATAATTAAACCACTTTTCTAATACACATTTTTCCTCTTATCAACTGCTTCTGTCTTCTGAGGAAAATTTCTGTTTACTTTTGTTTCAGAAATATATCTTGGATAGAATTCCTGAAATCTATTTAACATTTACGTGTTCAATACATACTCCTTAGGAACTTGCATTCTACAGAAAAACTTTGGCATAACAAATATTATTTTTGGACAGTTGTTCTCTTGAAAGAACAAAAACCATGGGTGCATGTGTACACAGACTGCTATCAAGGACTTTTTTCACTTGCTTTAAAACAGTTCCAAATTAGTGAAGGTACTGGAGAAAAATAGAGAATAATTGCTCTCTTCCAATCTCTCATAGATTAAAAAACTGATGAAGCTTGACTGATACATATGGAAAATACTGCACTGATAAACCAAATGCTATGTTGAAATTTTTTATTTCATCTAAGTAATGCGACTGAGGTCATTATTATGGAATTTGCTCTCTCTCTCTCTCTCTCTCAAAAAAAAAAAAAAAAAAAGGCTAAGGAACACAGCTGTAAATAATAATAATGCAACTTGAAGTGAAGGCAAGCTACTATCAAAGTATTGCAAAACCTACATTCATAAATTAAAAATTACATCACAACAGAATAGACCATATACATGTTATAGCTTAGTGGGATTAGGACTGAAGCAATCAGCACTAAATCATGCCTGAAATCAGGGTTAATACTGTTTTGTTTTGTTTTTCTTTTTTATTACATAAAAAATGCCATACTTAAAGATTGAAAAATAAATAAATAAATAAATAAATAAATAAATTGAAAGACATTTCCAGAAAAGTTCTGTTCTTCATGTTCTGTTCAAACCTATCCCTAAGCACAGCATTTTCATTTTCTAAGAATTCCAGTTTTCTGTATCTGACAGATACTGTCTCTCATGTCTACAGAAAATACCTTAGTTGAGTAGCAGTGGAAATCAGAGTGGAGTTTGGTAATCAACTCAGGCCTTATTCTAAAAGGTACTTTGACAAGTACAATCTCAGGCAATGCTTCTGAGGTTTAAGAGTCCTTAAATTGCTTACTCCTTTTGCTATAATAATTGACACTCACCTTTCAAAGCGTCAGGAATATAGAGCACATCCAAATATATTCTGTGGTACCTCTACCATTAAACAATGAACCAGGTGCAACATGATGGTCTTTAAAGTTATAAAAAAATGGTAGTGCAGATTCAAAATGTAGTTTTAACAAAAGCTGTAACACAGTTGTTATGTATTTTTTTTCTTGTTAGTGGGTTAGGAGGTCACAGTTACTATGCCTGCTTACTCCTCAAACAAATTTGCATGAATTATTAAAAGACTAAGGTCTAACCTGATACCTTTACTTCAAAAATAATGTAATTAAAATCAAAACCATATAAAGAATAGTAGGTATTAAAACACGTTTTGCTAGCAGAAATGAAATCATAATAGCAGTACATTCGTAACATCAGCTACAATAAAAATAAAATAAAACATGCAAAAGCACATTCTATATCCCTTTCACAAAAGCTCAGAGAAAGATTTGTTTGGACAATGGAAAAAAAACTGAAAGTAATCTCTGCTAGATGGAAGATTTCAATAGATGGAAATACTTTTCTTTATTGTAAAAACAAAACAAAACTCAACCAAAAATTAACCAAAAAATGTGTTTGGCTGTGGTATTCCTCAAAGAGTAATAATGGACTTTACATCAGAAAGAAAAGTATCATTTCACAGACATGATTTTACGTAGATAAAATATTCTGACCAAGATAAAGCATTTAGTAGTTTTGTTTCAAACACTTTTTTCTAGAAATTGAGTTAAACGGCATGGGAAAATTCAGTGTACATTCTTTAAAGTATGAACCTGGTAAATGCAAAAATGGATACTTGCTAGTTAATGACCAGTCCATTTGCCAACTTTATTTACCAAAAGAAGATTACAGACATTAAGTGTTTGTTTATTCTTTCCCATAAAATTGTGCTTACCGTATGTAAAAAATCCTTATTTTCTTAACACCATTCCTAAATAAAAATTACAGACAAGAGACTTGGCTTGTGTTTTCTACTTAATTCAGAAATTCACTAGCCAGCTCTAAGAATTATCAAGCTTTTCAAGCTTTGATTACAAAATATCCTAAGATGGTCAAGGAAAGCAAAATATCATGTCCTACCCATCTGGTAGTCATCATTCTTAGAAAAGAGCCCAACATCTTAACAACAAGCATTTTATAAAAATAATGAAGAACTACATTATTTGATCTTATTACAACTACCTGGAAGTAAAGTGCTTGAACACATAATTGAAAACTCTAATTTCAAGTGACATATTTCCTACTTAGTTTTCAAAAATGAAGTACTACATACAGAACCCTCCCTGATTAAATAACATCTAACCATAGGTCCAATAACCTAGCCCTCTGCTTTTACAAAATGATGACTAAGAACATTGAAAGCAGAAGTAGAATTTCAAATAGTCCTTCCTCATGAGTTTCCAACAATACTAAAAAAGATAACATATTTTCAAATATTAAATAAAGCTTCCATACTTGGAAGCTAAGCTAATGTCACAATTGGATGGCCAGAGGTACTAATCTCTTTTTCCTGACAGATAGATTTTAGCTGTCTGAAGTCTAATTTCATTACCAGGGGTGTCTCAAAGCAAGACAAACAAAGTGAGTAGCAGAGAGTGACTAACTCTGGATACCCAAGTTAAAGTAAATGAATTGCACCATATGTCATAACTGACTGAGTAAAAATGCCTCTTTCACATCAGATTTTCCCATATAATTTTGTTGTTTTAAACTGCTAACGTTGTTGAATTTATTTTGATTCCTAATAAGTAGTTTTGCCAAAATTGAAGCTATAAATTACATAGGAAAATAATTCCTTTTTTAAGCAATTAAATCTTACAATCTTACAGTATAACAGGAAAGAAGAGAATTTCTTGATATAGAATCAAATTATGAGACAGCTAAGAAACTGTATTACAGAGTACCAAAAACATTGAAAGAAAAACGCAAAAATAGAATGTGCATGATGTTCTATATTTAGTTTTGTGAGTAGGCTCTTAAATTTCCTTTGAGCTGTCTTCTTTGATAATCGCTGGTAAAACCGAATTCTGGAGAGGTATTCTCAGCAATTATTATTTGAGAACTCAACACAGAGTGTATTCAAAGGCTCTGTGAATTTTTTGTATTTCCATACATAAGAATCTTTTCATGTTTGTTAACAAAGCCTAGGTCAAAACAAGCCATTTTGCATCAAGTATTTTCTACATATTTCCTATTTTATTTTTATTATGAATGTCTGCTAACACATTCAGTGTTCGCAGGCAGACCTGTCTTGAAGATTCTACTGTTGTTAACACCTTATTTAGCTGCCATACACAAATTCATCTCACAAAACAATATCAGAGTGAAATATTTTCATATCTCCTTCTATGTCAGCAGTTTTCCAGTCTGCACGCTATCACTGCATCTGCAGTGAATCATACAGAGTCATCGTTTTAAGGAGAGGAGGAATGCTGGACATATAAGGTGTATTCAAATATTATATTCCAGTTAAAATATCAATTTTTTTTCAATATTAAGTTTCAGTACAAGAGCAGTGACATGAGCTCCCCAGCTTTGAGGCACTTTTGTGGCTTTTTATATGTATATACATATTACAAGGAATAAAAGGCAGGAGGGAAATGCAATTTCACTGCTGATACAGTCATCACATGCAAAATACGACAGTAACACGCTCTCAGCATTCAACTGCACATCAAACTATAAAGAAAAGGAAAAAAATCAAATTAAAAAAAAAAAATCACTTGAAATATACCCTTTTTGGTATTTCAATGGCATTACCAGTGCTAGCAGGAACATATAAAAATTCCTTCCAAAGAGCTTTTATTTGCTGACACACACTACTAGTTGACACCGCTCTCGTATTGGCAGAAACTAATTGAATAGATCTTTTACTTCTTACCATCAACACAGGCTGGCCTTGCTCTTGTTGTACCGGCAATCTGTCCTTTTTTACATGCACAGCGAGCTGTTTGTCGAGCTATAGTCCTTCGGGGTTGACTGCTATCTCTGTCCAAAGTAACAATCTCACATGTACCTGCAGCCAGTTGACCTGGAAAAAGAACCAGCAACAGGTACCAGAGTCACTGAATGCACTGCAGGCAATCTATTACAGCCGAAGAGAGTCATGGCCCTACGTCACCACAGACACTCAACAATAAATGGCAGCCAGCTGATGGATATAATAAAACTGAAATGACATACAATTTTTCTTTGTGGTGGACATATGAAAACCCTGCAAACTGGCTCTGTCAGAAAATGATTATTGTTCCATAAAAGCCAGAGAGTTGAGGTCACACAGGTTACTTATGTCTGCTGAGTAAAGGAACAATCTACTTTTACAGCCACTAAATTTAAATTGCATGCTCTTCATGTATTTACAAAAAAACGATTAAGTATATGGAAAACAAAACCAGACAATATTTAAAGGCCTTCTCCATATTCATGAGTATGATTTAGTCTTAATTGCTTCATGTGTTATTCCTGAAAGACCAGGTGCATCAAAGAATGCCCAATTTTGTCAGGCTCTTTGGCTCTTGCTTTGCATAGGGTCTTAGCAACTCATGCTCTACCTGACTCAGTTTTGAAGTAGCAAACCCCCTGTCTTTCGCTAAACTTACAATTTAACTATTCTGCATATGACAGTAAATTGGCAGAGCCTCGTTCGCTCAGCACCACTGACTGCATTTAACTGACTTCTTCAGTGTGTTCCTGAATATTATGAAAACCCATCCTACAGCCTGGACCATAATGTGAGGGACCAAAAAAATAAAAACAAAAAGTTACAAAAATTTGTTCTCATGGACTCTTAGTCAAAAGTAAAAGAAGTGAAAATACTACAATTAAAATGGCATATAAGCATTATGCTAATAATGTAGAAAAATACTATCATTTTACAAGCAAGAAAGATATGTTACAGAATTTCAGTGCTTAGTAAGACTGAAAAAAAAAAAAACCAGCCATCACCTTTAACTATAATTTTTGCATACATACTGTACTACTAAACAGCATTTCTGTTGGATTCTGTCTTTTAAGCAATCAGTTGTAACATTTCAAAGAAATATATGCAAAAATACGTTTGCAAGCCATGAACTATATTCTCTTTTCATAAAATACTGATATTGAAATAAAACCAATATTGTATTTTTAATATACAGTTTAAAGAATATTCAAAGTGAATTTTTTTCATTGTGTTGAACTTCTGAAAAATAATGAGAGAAAAAAACAGGAATTTTAAATCTGCATTAACTTGAATTGAAAAAATAGTGAAACACATGTCAGCAGTGTTTAATTAACATCTACAAGTCTAATGATATTTCTTTGTACTGTATTTTTTTCTATTCTTCTCAGAATCAGCCTTCAATGTTTTCTTTTTTTATGGTTATAGTTCTGAAATTTTCAGAATACTAAAACACTGTAGGCTGTCAACAGTGCTGGTACTTGTTCAATGCTAAGCTACCTAAATTTCATGTTGCTGTAACTCCTACATTACAGTGAATGTACAATGTGGTAAAAGCAAGGATCATAAAGGTGATTATAGAATGAAGTGCTCTAAAAATTCATGCAAATATATAGAGGTTATAGATATTAAGGCCTTCAGAAATATAGACAAGATATTCAACAGTCAAAATCACTGTAATATTTTAATGGTTACTGGCAATCAGACTTACCAGCTAAGTCAATCCTGACTTTCGTTAGCTTTCTACTCTTTTCCACCCACACTATTAACAAAAACATCTTAGGATAAACATACTGATGAGGGGATTTTTACTTTGTTATATGCTATTTTTTTCAGAAATCTTGGGTTAGAAAGCAACGGTTTAACAAGCAAGGAAGTAGCATGTGATTCTTCAAATGCAGGCAGGGGAAATCCATACACTGAGAAATCCTGAGCTGAGAAAAAAAGCATTAACTTTCACCCATTGCTAATACATTTCATTCAGGATTGCAAGATATGCATCCCTCCCAAGGAATGAAGCTGTCTTAGTAGATCAAGAAAAAAAGACACGATCAGAGATGCATTTAGAACATGACCCCTTAGGCATCTGAACATCACGCTTAAGGTTCTGCATTGAGAATAGAAATTGAATGGAAACCAAAGAAAAATGGAAAGTGCAAATATGATACGAGTAAGTGCTCCTGAGAGAATGGGCTATCTTATTCTCCCCTATCTGGAAGTCTTTATACTATTGTTATTTTCATTAAAAGATAATTTAAATCATATAATCTAGGTAATTCATTCTATAAAACCCAATTTCATAGGAAAGGGACAAGCATGGTGAAGGTTAATAAGAACTACACTCAAAATAAAAACAACACTGAAGCTTTATGCTTCAGTGATAAATTTTAGGGAATGCAAGCAGTGAGTGTTGATAAACATGTCCACAGACAATATTTTCTGCTTTTGAACCTGTCCAGTTTTAGTTAGACAAAGATTCATTTTAAAATACCTGGGACATTTGTGTTTTTGTTTTTTTGTTTTGTTTTGTTTTGTTTTATTATTTTCAGATGGCTATTTATGCTCCTTTTTAAAGATGATGATTCCTTTCAGGCACAGTAACCTCTTTTTTTTTTTTTTTTTTTTAAGAACCTGGAAATCTTGGGTACCTAAAATGAGACTAGACTACAAAGATAATGTTACATTGCCTTTCAAGGAACTTCGTGCAGCTATTAAAATATAATGGAATACTAGAGAGATTCTTGAGATATTTTATAGATTTTAAAGATAAATATGTAAATAAATCACTTATCTGTTGTCATTCTCGTTCCTACTGCAGAAGAAAAATAGAAGTTATTGCAGATCTGCAGCAAATCTTCCCACTTAATGTGATGTAAGTACTTCCTTGTCACTGTGTCACAGGTTGCAAAGATTGCAAGAATATATTTTACATCTACTGTTACTTGGCTTTAGATGGCTGTAAAGCATGAAAAGCGAAAGACAAATTTATGGAGGCCCACCTTCAGAGTATCTGGGTTTATCTGGAGGTCTTCTCTGTTTCTCAATAAGTAGAAAGTAAACATTCAGGATAACGTTGCATATGTGATCTGAATGTTACTTTTATTTTTTAAGAATTTTATCTAGAAATATAAGGTTTAAAGAGAAGGAACAGAAGGAATATACTTCTTCTAAAGGCAGTTTCAAGAATTAGGGTACCTTCCATTTTCATGGAAGTTGGCACAATGACCTCTTTAAAGGACATTAATGAAAAAAGGCCAATATTTTTAGTAGATCCTATAGATGTACTCACAGTACACAAACAAATTCACCTCTATCCAACCCGAATGAAACAATCTTGAGGGGAAATAAAAAGACAAGCACCACCAGTGAACTTAGATTCGCTGAATAGTCTGTAAGGTTGTTTGTTTATTTTCCAGGAAAATGTCTTTTGAAAACTACTTTATGTATCAAAACAAAGAACAAAGATTATTTCAAAGTTATAATAATCCTTTTACTTAAAAAAAAAAAAGTGTCTAGCTATTTCTTTGCTATTGTTTTAAGGAGGAAAATACGTCAGTTCTCTAACAGCAAATAAAATCTAATTTGCGTTCATTTTAGTAAGCAAGCTATAGATATTATGAATTTTAAATTTATTCATGCTGGAAAGCTGAAAACTTTTCCCCAAAATCTTTTAAGTAAATAAAATCAGATGATGAGCTCATAATATCTGTGAACTGAATGGCAATAAAACTTGATCTAAGTATATAGGTCTTTCCAGGGTTTCAGATTTCATGTTCATCCAGAAAATCTCTTAAATTGTATATACAGGGTTATATTGCAGTTCCAGTGAATAATTTTTTTTTTCCATGCATCATAAATTTGATGCCTAGCAACACAAGCTCTTTTAGTTTAAAATGCATAAAGTTAGATGTTATTAAAAATCTTGGCTAGATTCAGATACTCTTTTGTCAGAGAACACAATGCAGGAGTTGTTTCAAAATCAGATCATAGGAACACATTCAGTAGCTTTCTATTAAATATTGAAGGCTTTCTGACAACAAAGTCATGCTAACTCTTGAGCAGAGCTGAATATCAGCAGTTCTCACTGAAACAAAGGGGAACTTAAGTATATAGCATAATTTATGATCTGACATTAACCTGCATGTCAAATATTTCAACATATTTTGATCATTTTAAGTGTGTATTTAGCAGAACTTTTTTAAAAATTATGTATCCTTCCTCAGTGAAGATGTTCTGCAACAAGATCTTTTGACTTAAACATCATTCAATTTCAGACATTCCTATTACCTTTTCTTTTCCAATTTTGGTTCAGAACAAGAAAGATTACAACAAAGGACTGATTTGCCCCACAGAATGCCATTCACTTTTACTCAACAGCAAAATTTGTAGAAATTCATTTAGTATAAAATGAGAAAGATCAACTTAAACAAAGCTGCTGAAAAAAAATGTTACTTAATGTGAAGCAACAAACCAGAATTGGCTAAGCTTCTATATCTCAGCATGGGAACAACTACTCAAATGAACGAGCACAATTTCAAAACAACTCTCAAATAAGAACCTTGTTTCATTTTTAACATATGCAATAGACAAGCTTTTTTTTTGTTGTTGTTATTGTTGGTTTTTTTTTTTGTTATTGTTTTATTTTTTTTGTTTGTTTGTTTCTAATAAAATGTATTCATATGTTTCCATCTTACATTACTAAAGTTTCTGGCACTGAAAGCATCTGCCACCAAGATGCTTAGCATGTCATTTAGGATCTTGTAGAATCCAAATCTTTCGATTGAAACATACTGTGGCTGTTGAACAGATTACACAGCAACTCTTCATGCCTCTACAGTTAAACAACTTTTTTAAAACACTTCTTTAGTTATATATATATGGTTATATATATGCCATCAATAGAAAACAAGACAGATGCCATTGTCACATAAACAAAAAGTCACTTATTTGGATAATATTGATTTGCCAGTGCAACATACAGGTACTCAGTAAATCAAAAAGTGGTAGGCAGATTTTTTTACAATTTCCCATTTGCTTTGCTTCTGGTTGAGAGCTATACTTGGCTGGAATCATCCTTGCCATGTGACTGCTGT